ACTGATATAGTTCCTTGATAATGTGAGAAGTCAGGAAAGCGCTTGGAATTTCACTCTTCTTTCACAGTGGTTGTTTTGCATATTTTGATATCACCTGTTTACTGTGATCTTATTGCATATATATTTTTTTTTTTTTTTTTTTTTTTTTTTTTTTTCAACAAGTCGGCCGTCTCCCACCGAGGCAGGGTGACCCAAAAAAGAAAGAAAATCCCCAAAAAGAAAATACTTTCATCATCATTCAACACTTTCACCACACTCGCACATTATCACTGTTTTTGCAGAGGTGCTCAGAATACAACAGTCTAGAAGCATAAACATATAAAGATACACAACATATCCCTCCAAACTGCCAATATCCCAAACCCCTCCTTTAAAGTGCAGGCATTGTACTTCCCATTTCCAGGACTCAAGTCCGACTATATGAAAATAACCGGTTTCCCTGAATCCCTTCACTAAATATTACCCTGCTCACACTCCAACAGATCGTCAGATCCCAAGTACCATTCGTCTCCATTCACTCCTATCTAACACGCTCACGCACGCTTGCTGGAAGTCCAAGCCCCTTACCCACAAAACCTCCTTTACCCCCTCTCTCCAACCCTTTCGAGGACGACCCCTACCCCGCCTGCCTTCCCTATAGATTTATATGCTTTCCATGTCATTCTACTGTGATCCATTCTCTCTAAATGACCAAACCACCTCAACAACCCCTCTTCTGCCCTCTGACTAATACTTTTATTAACTCCACACCTTCTCCTAATTTCCACACTCCGAATTTTCTGCATAATATTTACACCACACATTGCCCTTAAACAGGACATCTCCGCTGCCTCCAACCGTCTCCTCGCTGCTGCATTTACCACCCAAGCTTCACACCCATATAAGAGTGTTGGTACTACTATACTTTCATACATTCCCTTCTTTGCCTCCATAGATAACGTTTTTTGACTCCACATATACCTCAACGCACCACTCACCTTTTTTCCCTCATCAATTCTATGATTAACCTCATCCTTCATAAATCCATCCGCCGACACGTCAACTCCCAAGTATCTGAAAACATTCACTTCTTCCATACTCCTCCTCCCCAATTTGATATCCAATTTTTCTTTATCTAAATCATTTGACACCCTCATCACCTTACTCTTTTCTATGTTCACTTTCAACTTTCTACCTTTACACACATTCCCTAGGGATTGGCAGAGAGCATGTATAGTCCCTTTATATAAAGGGAAAGGGGACAAAAGAGACTGTAAAAATTATAGAGGAATAAGCTTACTGAGTATACCAGGAAAAGTGTACGGTAGGGTTATAATTGAAAGAATTAGAGGTAAGACAGAATGTAGGATTGCGGATGAGCAAGGAGGTTTTAGAGTGGGTAGGGGATGTGTAGATCAGGTGTTTACATTGCATATATATACATGTACATATATGTTCAACCTGCGTAAATTAATTTTTGATCTACTATTATTATTATTATTATTATTATTTTTATTATTATTATTATTGTTGTTGTTGTTGTTTTAATTATTATTATCACTATTGTTGTTATAATTATTATTATTATTATTATTATTACAAATGTATGATAAATTTTATGTACTAAATCCATATTGCCTCACTGTAAATTTTTTATTTCCTGCTCACATTAAGCAAACAAATCATAGAATGGGTGCTGCTTCAGCCCACGACAAGTAAATAACAGAAGATAATGATGTTCCCACTACTTTATAAAAACTCATATAACAGTCTAAAACTCCTTGATAGCTAACATATAAACTGCTGCATATCCTGGTGTCACACATCATGATATCTATTATATCCTGGTGGTGTTATTAAACTATATAGTGTGGTGGTGCCACTATGATTATTAAGCCTGAAATGGGTAAAACTTCTCTCAGTAAAGATAACCAGGAGTTGCACATGTGTTTTATTCATCAACCTGACAGTATTATATACCTTTAATATATATCCAGGTGGTGTCACTATGATAACTAACAGTACATATACAGTAAATCACCTGTATAGTGGAACTATTTATAGCAGATAGAATACTATAGCAAATGACCAAAAAAAAAAAAAAGTCCACTAGAGGGCTATTTTTACACTTAATGTGTGACAATTTAGAAATGCCACCCCAAGTCTACACACATTTTTAGGACAGTGCTTAGCACTACAATCAACCTATGCTGACCACAAATTTTTACAACCAGTAACATGGAGCAATTAGTGTACAGGTTATCATAGAACTACATGTTATTACATTTAAATGTCTATCCAGGATCATAATACCACTCTTATTTGGTCTGCTAGTTCCTCTAATAAGAAAGATATGCATGTTACAATTGTTATGAGACATCACAAGTTTCCTTGTCTGTCGAGGATGATTCTTAAATCATTTATTGGTATATACTGCACCATTTTTTTGAATTTCATAAAATTTTCAACATTTTTTGGGCCTTCTCTAGAATAGTTTTTGTTGGATTATTTACAGGCTTTCTTGGATTTAGCAGAAAAGGTGCTGTCTCTGGTTCATTGTTTACATGAACTACTGTATGTATACACTGGTGTCATACCTGTAACATATTAATATTTTGCATATGCTACTACAGTATAATAATTTCTATCATAGTGCCGCACAAGCCACTACAGTAACCGGGTACACGTTATCTTCGTGTTGTGCAGGCCACTATATATGTACTGTATTTTTTTTTTTGTTTCTCTTAGTTATGGTGTTAGAGATTAAAGACTAAAAATAAAAAGGAATGACTACTCATAAATGCTGACTGCTGTAACTAAAAATTATATCATAAATATTCCAACATATTGCTAATAACTTCTAAGCTCATCATGCTGATATTTGTTATAAAATTTACACTTCATGTGTACAAACATTTTGCTTCTCTTTATGTTCTTTGTAAAGAAATAACTATTTGGATATCTAGCAGGCATATATGAGTATGTTAGAAAGGAGTGAGTGAAGGCTAGTGGTTTTTATGACGATGTGCTGTTGGAGTGTGAGCAAGGTAACATTCAGGAAGGGATTTAGGGAAAACCAGTTAACTGGACTTGAGTCCTGGAGGAAGGAAGTACAGTGCCTACACTCTGAAAGAGGGGTGAAGATATTGTAGTTTGGAGGGGTATCTGAAGCTATAATGTAAGTGTGCCTCTGGCATGACAGTGATGGAGTGACTGGAAGTGAAACTGTTTCTTATTTTTCAGTGGGAGATGACCGGTGTGTTAAAAATATTTTTTCATATTTTATGAACTTTCATTTACAATGACCAGGAGAGCCTTAAATTAAACCAATAATTGAATATACCTTGGTCGAACACCTTAAGTGTAATACTTACAATGCATCTAACAGAATATTATTACAGCAGTAAGAGGAAAATAATTAATGTTTAAATTATGATCACAAAATTACAGATTATTATCCACTGCTTAATGCTATAAAGTGCTATTTTGTTTTAAATTTTTACATCATGCATATACACGCTTTAGTAACAATACTGTAGGTCCTCTAATGCTGGTTTAAAAAGTTTAATACTGTATAATAATTTCCACATTACGTAATCTTCAATCACTAAACCTGGGAAATATCAGTGCCTCGGAAATGCTCGATATTCTACAGTTTAATGGAAAAAATGTTAAGAAATACAGCAGGCTCATGATTTGTGCAACAGCAAAGTGCATTTTCAATAACTAGCTATTTAAATTTTGTTACCAAGATCAAGAGTTACGGGAAAGTAACTATGCTCTCCTGCAACTCGGGCAACTCACTTCTCACATAAAAATACCACTTTGTCACTCAGTGGGATATTTCCCTTTCATGTCTAGGGTGAGTCATTATTTTTGGGAAAGGCCTAACTTCACTCCTTGGTGTATATACCCACCAATGTCATCGTCTTTTGGGGATGTCCCATACCATACTTTCTCTTGTGCTTATTCGTCCATTTTCAATCATTATATCACCTCAACTCGAGTTGAACAAAGGCACCCAAAAGGAATGCTAGTGATATCAAAAGTATTAAGAAGAATAAACTATGCCTATTTCAATAACACTTGAAGTGACAGATATGCTGAGGAGTGGTGCATGGGTCACAGAGACAGCATAATAGTCTGGTCCTAGAGAATAAGCAATTCTTTCAAGACAATGAGGTAAAGATAAGAGATTGTGCAGGGAGTAATCCAAAATTTGACACAGTGAAAAGAACGGGAAATAGGTCATTACAATTTAACCCTTAAACTGTCCAAATGTAGATCTACGTTTGCATGCATAGTGCTCCGAATGTAGATCTACTTTTTTTTTAAATAAGAAACAGTGTAAAACTGAACGTAGATCTCAGTGTAAAACTGAACGTAGATCTATGTTCAGAGCACTACGCGTGCGAACATAGATCTGCATTTGGACAGTTTAAGGGTTAATAAGACAACAAAATTATTAAATTGTGTAGACTGAGCATAAATACCTGAGCACTCAAAACTACCATCAACTAATAATTCTGTATCAACATAAACACAAGATCCCAACCATCAACATCAACTCAACTGCAACCATCCACCTCAGCACAATAGGACCACAGCCACCCTTTCCACTCACATCAAGATTATTATGCACCGGTAACCTTCATTAACTACATGTGCTCCTCTTTATCACTGTGTAACCTTCACTACAGTACAAGTATTGTATACAGTAACATCAACTACAATGTAAAGTAAGAATAACTGTTACTTTTAAAGAAATAAGAAACTGAAATAGACTTATTTTGTTTGGAGTCATCAAAAACAGTAACCCTATTTTTCATATGTGTACCTCACACCATAAGTCACAATGTCATAAAGGGAATGTCTACTATACTTACGAAATATAAAGACGTAATTACATAAACTGACACTACATGAACTGAACAAAATTCAAGACTACATTAACTGTTGTATGGTACTGTATAAAATTAGCTGATTACATAAAATAATGCTGCTTGGGAGAAAGACTACAATTTAAAACAAAAACAATGTATTATAGGTAGCACTGCATTTAAAACATGGGTATATTTTACATCAGCCAATAAGAAGCATACGATAGTAAATAATGCCTTGTGTTTAATATAATAGTCACATACTAAAAAAAATAATTTTATTTAACAATAAGGCACATAAAGAAAAAAGTCTGACCCATCAAATGAAAAATAAGATAAATATACAGTATACTATCAATATTTTTTACCTCAACTCCCATCTCCACAGCTTTATTTTTTAATTATGACTCTTGTCTGGAAAACAATAATATTTCACTACTCATGGAAAGATAAATTTACTTTCAGGGTGAAATATCAAATAAAAACCTGACCCTACACATTCTGCATACATTAGTAAAATTAACAATCAATATGATTGTCTTTTGATAAATAATATAGATCACAGTTATTGCAACTTAAAAACTAACAATTTAGCTTCAACTGGTTAGGCACATAGAATAATTAAGCTGGGATTAAATAATTTAAAGTAAACCTAAGTAAAAGAAGTATGCCAAGGCTTTACACATCCTCAGAGGTTTCAACGTAATTTGTGCAAGATATTATTAAAGTCACCGAACTGTGCTTAATTATTACTAAAAATTATTTTACGTACAGTGTGCATTATTAAAGCTATTTAAATGTCATTTCAAATACTGTATACAAACTTTCATATAAAATAAGAATTTCACAATAATGTGAAAGTAACAAATTATGTATAAGGAGTACTGGGGATCAACCAGGAATTCTGACAAGACAACATAGTCAGGATAATTGAGGACTCAGTTGTGCGAGGCCACAGGGTTAGTCCCTAGTACTCTATACACAAGTTTTATTATATAATTTTTTGCTTGCCAATAAAGATTTACATACTGCTACGAATAACAGCACCAGTATAACCCAGTGCCTCTCGTACCAGTGTACAAAATGAAGTAATTATCTTTCTTGTGACATTATTCTCTCTTATACCTAAGTGAAGTTAAAACTTCTACAATCTGTAGGCTAAAACTTTTGCAGTGTAATTCCTGTTTACTTGCTGAGTGTACAATACAGTATTTAACCTTCTGTTAAGAACAGAGGCATCAAACTCTTCTAAAGATAGTTCAGCATTTGTCATTTTAATTACGTAAGTTACAATTTCAAAATAATATACTCTGACAAAGCTGTGAATATAGTACAGTATGTACAGTACGTATATCAATATTACTGGTACTGCATTATTTAATGTAATGTTTTGCAAACCTAACTTTACTAACATAAATTTAATAATAAATTTTTTATTGCACCTGCTAATATTTGATCACTGATGATCATTTTGTTTAATAATGTATTGGTCATTGTATCCTATTCTTATGGCTTTATTCCTCTACTGAAGATCAAACCAGAATTTTTTGTCATTCTGAATGACAATATTATTATAATATTATGTGAGGCACTAAACCCACGTAGGTCATTCAGAGCAAGAGCTGGTAGAGGTTCAATCCTCCATTTGCTAACAGCAACACAGAAACTACTCTTGCAGCCGTGGCTTCTCCCTTAATCACAATCTTTACAATGCCATTTGTTGCATCTTCAAGCAGAAACACGTACATGTTAGTGAACATCAGTGTACAATGATCAAAACATATATGGCATCTTATAACTCTACAGATAGTCATCACAACCTCTCTAATAACTGCTGAATATGGCACGTGTGTTTTAAGCAATACTCTACCTATAAGGTATTCATCAATTGGTTATATAATGGTTTTGAAATATATCTGTATTTTTATGTAAATTCAATATTATGCCTGTATAATAATTAAAATTTTTTTTAAGTAAACTGGCCTATATTCACCAATATGGCTTACACTTTCAAAACTGCATGAAGCTTAATTTTTGACTAGATTATGTATGATGGGAAGTGGTTGTCTTTTTAAGTCACATTAACTTTGGGAACACCTCACAAATCTTATGAGGGAAGAGCATGTTTCTTCTTATTAGAAGTAAACTACACACAAACATCTTCCTGTCTTACAAAACACATACAAAGTAATAAATAAAGAGTCTGGTTATACTCACAAGAATATATTTTGAGCTCTCAGCATTCATTAGAATTCAGACAAATTATTTTCCAAATGCAGTGTGCCTGCATAAGAAAAAAAAAAAAAAAAAAAAAGGTTCAGATTTAGAAAACCAAATGACATGGGCTCACCTCAAGTACTCCAAAAAATCATTTATATGAAAAACAGGATCAAATTCATGTTGCAAAGATCGCTAAAACTAGTTTCTTGTTGATGTAGGGAGGGGTAATTTACTTCCAGCTGGCTTTCCCCTTGATATAGATGATGGCTTAGGAATGGAGGAACCCTGTCTTTGGGATCGTGGTGAAGGTACAGGAGAGGGAGGAGTGGTGACTTGTTCTGGGGTGGAGCTAGAAGTGTGGCGAGCAGATCTAGATGTACCTGAATTAGCACGTGCTGCAGAAACCGAAGACCTGTGCTGTGAACCTCGCGTTAATGAACGCAGATCTTCTGAAGCTGGGGAGGAACAGCGAGATGAGGCTGGAGATGAACTTGTACTCCCATTACGACTACCGCTACGACTACCTCTACCGAAACCACTAGCTGGGCCATCAAGCCCTGGGGAGGAACAACGAGAACCACCCGGGGAAGAACTGCAACTTGTAGGTCGAGACCCTCTGTTTCTAGGAGTACGAACTTGTGGTTGCCTTAAACGCGACCCTACAACATTAAGGGTTCTAGGACGATTTTCAGTTTCCTGTGGAGATGTGTGAGGGGATGTGGCACGAGAAGAACTTGGAGACACTGTTGGAGAAGTTGGAAGAGCTAATCTGGAAGGAGATGTGCGTAAGTTTTCATGACTAAGAGACTTTGTACGTGATGGGAGCGGACCTCGAGAAGGAGATGGAGAAACAGTAGAAACTGGTCTGTTAGGACGTGATGGTGGTCGAAGACGGGTCACAACATTATTGCCAGTTGACCCATTGCCACCCTGGCTACTTCTTCTTGATCCTGATGTGTTCTGACTATCCCTATGCTTACTATTCTGGTCATCTTGACCATGAGGAGAATCACTCTGGTGTCCTAATGTACCTGGTGGTGCTGGTATTCTACTTACTGAAGCAATGGTGGAGGGCTGTCTCAAACGGGAACCACCCAGGTTACTGCTACCATGAGTCTTGTTATCCATGCTACTGCCTTCATTACTTGTAGATAGATGGCTCCCAAAAGGGCGATCTGAAGGCCTCCAGCGAGAAATCCTTGAAGCACTGTTCTGTGGAGTGGGCAGACGACTTTTGATGACCGACTCATCTATACGAATACCAGCATCAACCAAGAACTCATCCGTAGTGGGGTCGAGTGTAGACATGCTGGGGAAAGAAGCAGGATGAGTAAGGCGCCATGGGGGTGAGGCTAGTGGGGCATGGGGTCTGGGGCGGGAATAAGGTGTAGGAATGAGACAAGGAGGGATACGAGCCAAAGGGTGAAGGCCATGTTGCAACCACGAAGCACCTAGCGGTCCTATAGGATAAGCTGGAGGTGAGGACCAGGGTGCCAGTTCTGCAGTGTCTAATAAAAAATATGGATGAGGAAGCTGTTCGATCATTCTGGCTTCATGTTCATGGGTTCCCCTGCATCGATCACCATCATAACTGTATTGAGGATAAGGTTCTCGAGGATAAAGTTCAGCAGCAGCAAACATTTCTGCATGGTAAGGGTCAGGACTAAAAGGTTCAGTAAAAGCAAGAGAGGACAGGTATTCATCAGGATGATCATATGAGAAGTGTGTTGGGAGAGATCGAGGAGAGTACATAGCAGAGAGATGAGGAGCAAGGGTTGGGGGAAGACCATGATAAATGTAGGGATCTTCAGACTCCTGAGGATAAGCAATGTGATGTGGCCTACTGTTGAGCAGTGGTTGGGGAGATCGCTCTCGCTGTCGACTGCTAGAAGAGTTGTCACTTTCATTGGTATGACTGCCATACTGTACATGATGTGGAGATGGGTCAAGGGAACTTGAAGAGGTATTATATTTTTTTGAGGAATTTTCTTCTTTGATGGATGGACTATAGTAATTAGTAGATGAAGCTGAATAGTTTGTGATTTTGTTGTGGCGTTTAGAAGGTTTGTTTGAGTGATGAGAACGAGCATTATATGTGTCTGATGGTTCACTCCTTTGAGAAGACAAGTCAAAATGTCGATTTTTATGAACAGAGGCTTCATAGTGATGGGCAGGAGGACTGCGTCGACGTGACATTGTGTCATAGGAGTTTCCAGGATGTTGTGATGTTTCATGGTGGCCTTGCTCTTGCTCATTCTCATATTCTTCTGTCTCTGAAGCACTGTGGTGGCGGTGACGAGTATGTTGTGGAGGCCAAGTATACATACCATGTGGACTTGGTGGGCTAGCATTAGTATGAGAAATTGGTGACTGAACCTTGGTTTCTTTGCTTGTGTGACGACGTCCATCATACAGAATATCTGGGTCTTCAGTATCTGAGTGACTCCCTCTTCCGTCAATTGACCATCCTCGACCAAATCTATTTCTTCGTGGCTCTTCTGGACTGGTGTCTGCTGATGCAACTTTTCTTCGCCAACGAGGGCGAGACGTGCGTAACCAAAAGATTTCTCTGGCTGAAAGCTTCTCTGATATTCTGTCTCCATCATCACCACTCTCAGAGGGTAGTGCTGAATAAGGTGATCGCCGGGAAGATACTTGTTTGGTACGTTTCTCTGAAAGCCTTTCTCGAGAATCTGAGTGGCGATCCCATGACTCTGAAGCTCTGTTTCTGGACCCTGAAAGGCTATCCCTTGAGCTTGAAAGATTATCTCTAGAACTAGAGAGATTATCTCTGGAATCTGAGTGTCTATCTCTGGAATCTTTGTGCAAATCTCTCGATTCCAAATGCCTATCTCGTGAGTGCAATGATCTAGAGATGTGCGATGAAGCTGAAGATGGTGGATCTCTAGTGATTCTTGGGGACTCAGGAGAAAGCTGCTCATCCCAGTCAATACTAGGTTCTTCAGGACTAAGAAGGACCTCATCACAGATGTCGCTAATGTCCAGCTCGTTGTCATCATCATCATCATCAAGAGACCACTCAGTTGGGTTAGTAGCAGAGCTAGGAGATGTGTTAGTAGTAGTAGAAGCTTGATACGCACCACCACTGTAAGGTACACGTGTGAAAGTTAGACATTTTAAATAAAGTTGCTGAGCTGTTGCCTGGACCATTTCTTTAAAGGAATATTAGAATGCTTGAATGTAAAGCTGTATCCATGTTCAATTACAAAACCATGTAAAAGTGTGCCAAGATTAAACAAAAAAGTATTAGGATGATCTGATGTGTCATAAGCAGCATACCTTAAGATATAGTTGGGACAATTTAGTTAGCAGTTTCACATTTTAAGGAATAAGGCTAGTAATGTCTTGCCAAGAATCTGTTAGTGTGAATGTATTAAAATAAGTTTTAAGATCTCTACTATATTTGTCTGTTTATAGTTACCCTTTTCTCAATAAGACTGTAAGTGTATCAAAAAATTTGGTTTTAGTCTTTTTTTTTTAATATACATACATTATGGAAAAAATATGGCACAGTAATATGGTAAGTACAGTGGACCCTCGATAATTGTAAGGCTCAAAGTCGTAATTTTCGAAAATCATGTTACTTTCGTCAAAACACTGACTCGTGAATTGTTGTTTGACTCACAAATAGTCATTCGTCTGGGATGTGTACACACAGCCCCGAGCCGCCTTACACTCCATTTCCAGCCAGCGTGCCATTGTTTATCAGTGAGTGAAGATGATCCCACGAGTTCATACAATATATTTCATATTCCATTCGTTTTAGTGCTTGCAACTGCTAAATACAGTGGAACCTCAAAAATCGAGCGTATCACATATCGAACGTTTCGAAAATAGGACCATTTTTTCGGACAAACTGTGTCCCTATTATCGAACGCGCGCCTATTTTCAGACCGCCGGGTACGGGACCTATCTGCCGGCCCACTCTGTCCGCATCCCAGCGCAGGTGCCGTGAACAGTCTAGCTTTGTTTATGCTTGAGTGAACACTAACCTGCGCTCTCATTCACACATTTTATGATTATTTCGTTGTGTTTAGTGCTTGTGGGACTGTGAAATAAGCTGCCATGGGCCCAAAGAAACTTGCTAGTGGTACCCCTGTGGTAAAGAAAGTGAGAAACACCATAGATGTGAAGAAGGAAATAATACAGAAGTATGAGAGTGGCATGAGACTTGTTGAGCTTGCCAGGATGTATGGGAAAAACAAGTCGACCATCGGTTCTATCCTGTCAAAGAAAGGACAAATCAAGGAAGCTGATGTTGCAAAAGGGGTTTTTAATATCCCCAAACCCAAAAAAAAGACCACAAATAATTGAAGGGGTTGAGTTGTTTTTTGCTGGTGTGGTTCAAGGATAAAGAGATTGCAGGGGGATGTGTTTCAGAGACAAATTATTTGCGAAAAGGAAAGGAAAATTGCATGCGATCGGTACAGAAAACCCCTGGAACAGGCTGATAGTAAATTTTAAAGGGGCCATCAGAGGCGGGTTTTTGCCCCGTTTTAAGAAAGTTGGCATACACAATGATGAAAGGGACATGGTGGGGGCAGCCAGTTCAGAAAAACGGGGGGCTAAAGAAGTTTGTACAGATTTTAAGGGGAAACATAGACATTTAAAGAATTGAAACCTGAACAAGTTTTTAATTGTGATGAAACAGGCTTTTTTTTGGAAGAAAATCCCAAAAAAAGGGTTTCTTAACCCCAACAGGAGGAAAGGCACTGCCAGGACACAACCCTATAAAAAAACAGGTTTCCCTTTTTTTGTTCTGTGCTAATGCTAGGGGTTTTTTTAAAATTGAAGCCTTTACTTATGTATCATTCAAAAAATCCCCGTGTTTAAAAAAAAACAATGTTTTTAAGAACAAGTTTGTTCTTGTGGAAAGCAAATCAAAAAGGAAAGGGGTACAAGAAAAATTTTTCAAAGGTGGGTCCAAAAAGTTTTTGGCCCCAGTGTAAAAAAAATACCTCCAAGAAAAAAATTGCCACTCAAGTCCCTCCTGTTAATGGACAATGCCCGTTTCATCCTCCAAACTTATTAGCCCTCTTGTCTAAGGACTTCATTTTATAAAATTTAATTTTCTCCCCCTTCCAAACATCACTCCTCCCCCCACCCATGGACCGAAGGTCATTTCAAAAATTAAAAAAAACTACACAAGACCCGTTTTAAAAAAGTGTTTTAGAATTTACCCCCGACACTAATTTGGGACCCTAAAAAGATTTTTCTGGGGGAAAATCTTTTTAACATCTCCCGCCCCTTTCCCCCTTTAAAGGGTTTAAGGTTTGGGGAGGGAGTGACTTCCAGGACTTTGAACTTGTTTGGGAGACAATTGGGGCCCCCAGTTTGTTCCAAAAGAGGGATTTTAAAGGGGGTTTTAAGGGTGCCCTTTGACCCTGCCCCTTACCCAGCTACTCTCTGTTTTTGGGGTGGACTCTTTTGGGGCTTTGGGGGAACACCCGGGTTTTTGGAGGTGAGTGTGAGGTTGGGGAAAAGAGTTGGGGGAGGACCACAGGGAAAAGCTAACCACTGAAGAGTTTGCAAGAGTTTTCATTGGAGCTATCGACCACAGCTGAGGAACTTGCCCTTTAGAGGAAGAGAGGTGGGTGAGGTGCCTTCTTCAAAGATTAAAAGGGGATTTTTGGCCCAAATGGAATGATGTCCAAATGTTTGTGCAGAATACCACCCGACAAGCTGAAAAAAGCCATTTTTTGTAACAAGTTTAGTTTACCCGAACCCGTCCCCTTTTAGGGAAATGGGAAAAAAGGCGCCAAAAAAACAGAGGACTGTGGACGTTATTTTTTTGAGACAGGGGTTTCCCGTGACCTCAAACTGGTCCTATTTGGGATTAAAAGACAGAGAAGGGAAAATAAAAACCCGAGAGGGGCCCTTTTCCCCGAAGGGCCTCCTGGAGGGGGGTTCTCCTCCAAAAACTAAACCCAAATCCCCCTCCCTCCCCCCTATTTCCAGATGCATCACCAATCTTCAAAAAAGGGAAGTAAAAATGTTATTTTTTAAAGTATTACTAAAACATAATTAAAAAACTATAGTATTTGTTGTATGTTTAAAAATGTAATTAATCTCTATAAATGTAATTTTTTTTTTGAAAATTTTTTGGGGTTTTTTGGAAGGATTTTAAATTTTATTTCCATTATTTCTTATGGGAAATATTTTCTTCGAATTTCAGACTTTCAAATTTTTGAACTACCTCCTGGAACGGATTAAGTTTGATTTTTTTGGGTTTCCCCTGTAAATTTACCATGGCTTTCCAAAAAAAGCTTTAGTTCCCAGGCCCCTTTGGGAAAAAATGTGGAAAACAAATAATTTAAGAAAAAGTTTGTTTGAAAAATACAAAGGTGGGGGTGGGGAGGTGGGAGCAGTTGTTATAGTGGTAGATTTGGGAGGTTTGGGGGAGGATTTCTACAGTTTTTGGGTAATTTGGAAAAGGGGGGAGTTTGGGTTGGGGCCAAATGGGAGAGGGGGTAGTGATGGGGGGGGAGAGGGTGGTTTGTGAGGGGAGAGGGGGTTTGGGAGCGTTATGATAGTGGTTTGCAGTTGTGATAGTGGTAGGTGGGGGTGGGAGAGGTGGTAAGGTTGGGGAGGGGGGTAGTAGTGGGAGAGGGGTTTCCTTCTTCAGTTATTCAGCGATTCTACTAACTCCCCCCAAGGGTTTTTTTGGAAATTACATAGGCTGCAGAAAAAAAACCGCCGCCCCAGCTTTCTGCTTTTTCCCCCCATTTTGGAATTTGGGTTATACTCTCGTGGCCCTTATACACCCCAAAAACAACCCCCCCCTCTTTTTTACATAAAAGAATTATTTTTTTTTTCATTCTAGAGTATTTTCCATGTTTCTATTTAAAATATTGTTTTTTATGTCAAAAGTTAAATTGTGATAGATAAATAAGCCGTAGAGTTGATATATGTCAATTTTCTCCAACAATAAAAACTCGCCTCCCCCCTCTGCCACACGCCAACAAAAGTCTTTAGTAAAGGAAAGTGTGGTGTTAAATGCCATTTATACTTTTTATTAGTGCTTTAAATTTATTTGGCATTTTTTTTAAGCATGTAAATCATATTTAAGCTGGGGAAGTGACCCCTAAGTGCCCAGAGTCCTTTGGAGGGGGTTTTCCCCTTTTCCAAACAAAAACCCTCTTCCCTCTTCCCCCCCTGTCTTCCTTTCATCAACAAGGTTTCATAAAGGTAACTGCCATGTTGAATTTTCATTCTTTGTGCAGTAAATCTATCTTAGGGTTTTAAAAAAAACGGTAAAAAAAAATTTTTGTGATACTTCTGGGTGTCGGGAACAAAATAATTGGATTTCCCTTTTTTCTTAGGGGGAAAAGGGATTTGCAAATCTCTTTTTTGATAATAGTCTGCTCCCGGGAAGATTTTTACAAAAAAAACAGGGCCACTGTACAGAATATATTAGACAGTTAATACCCAACTTACCCCTTTCCTCCCCTATCTGACTCATTACATTTCCATCATTACTTGTTACTCACTTACTTCAACGGGTGACTTTTTTTTTTTAACTTTTCTCTCTTAAACAAAAAACCCATTTTTATTCATTATTTTGTCTTCATTAAATGACTTTCAATAAAATTCTAATTTTTAAAGACAATGATAAAATCAAAGAGCACGGGCAATTTTCACTTTTAGAAAAAAATATGAATGGCCCAGGAAACAACACACACTACGTATACATGAAGTCAAACTGATTAAAGTAACACCGGCCAAAACCTCTAACACAATAAGGTTAAAAATTCAAAATCAGGGGTTTTTTAGCTACCTTTTGTTATTTTTTCATTTTTATCTTTTTTTTAACAGAAAAATGAGTAACAATTTGACCAGACTATCCCAAAATATTATATGTATCTAATCTCTCCATAGTATTAACCATGGAAGTAACATTAATTTTGTTTTTATCAAGTCTGAAGATTTTTTTTTTACAAATATACATTTAAAAGAAAAAAAAACGGTATAAAAAAAAAATGGGAAAACAGTAAATAAAAAAAAAAAAAAAAAAAACCAAAACAAATAAAAGTTTTTGAGCACAATATTTTTCATTTAAATAAAATGCATACAAAAAAAAATTAAGAAAATTTTAAAACATATCCTATCTAATTAATCTCAAAAAATTTTCAAAATAATTTTTCCCCGTTTTTAAAAAAGTGTG